GGGGGTGCGCACCCCCTGCACCCCCCCCTGGATCCGCCCCTGGTACGTATATCGTCACGCGGAACTGCGCATCGCAGTACTAAGCCAAATAAATAAACGCATTCGCTGAGTTCAGGATAAGGGCCCTGCGACAATACGCCTTAACAGATACGCGCATGCGCTCTCTATAGCCGCATTATTTACGCACATTGTACTGCGCCCGCAGTCAACCGATCGCTATAGGTCGCACCGAGCTGTATATATAATAACGGAGCTAGCTCGCCTGCAAAATCATTATTTATTGAGGGGCGGCCATTTTCTGCGCGTTCGTCGGTTTTGTTCTGAGCGCGTATCTCGGTGCTGCCGTGCATCCCGCTGCCCGTTATATAGCGGTGCAGCGTAGAGGCATTTCTGCGCCTTATATATATATCAGCGAATCGCGCTGGGATTACCGGTGCAGAATAGCAGACGCATATAACGCATGTGTGTTTGGTCTTTATATAACTCTCCTAACTTGTGTGTGCAGCAGGCCGTTTATTTATCGCGGACGAGCCTGTATGTGGGATATATGTGACGATCGGACCAGCAGGCGTGTTGTACGTGCGCTACACTGTACGTTCGAACATATTCGTTACTACAACATCAGATGCCGTGCCGGCTGCTGTAAGGTCACCGGACAACCGACGACGAAATCTGTGTATATCACTGCGACGAGATACGGCGGAGGCGGTGGCGTCATCCTTTATCGATCTACAGCTGCTCGTTTATCCGTATGCTGACCGTATATATACGCGTTGATGAGAGTGAACGACGGAATCCACCGATCTTCAAGCGAGTGAGCGACGAGGAGTACTCAGATCGGTCTCGTTTAGCTGCGGCGATGGAGGGAGCGGTACACACCGCCCCCGGAGATATATGCTAGCCAACATAATGCATATAAACATGGCAGCAGTCGGTCTAGATATTAACTGCGGCGATCGATAGAGTTATAACCGTATATAAGCACATATATCGCATGCGGCTTCATACTACGCAACAGAGTGTGAACAAACATGGCGGGGACACCGGGGGAGCAGTCTGCGTGTATGTCAGCTGGCCTCGAGCAGCTGCAACAGCTCGCTTCCTCCATGCGCCACATGACCGAATCGTTCACCTACGCTATAGAGACGTTCGCGAACATACAAGGATGCGGACAGGCGACGGGAAGCCATAACTCACGTGAACACGGGGAAGGTGTCCAGCAGGGAGGAGGGCATGGCAGCGTCCAGCAAGGAGGAGGTCATGGCAGCGTCCAGCAGGGAGGAGGGCATGTAAGCGTCCAGCAGGGAGGAGGGCATGGCAGCGTCCAGCAGGTAAGACCATTGGCTACGCGTGGACATGTCACTGCCACTACCGTCAACAGGGCCGAGCGCCATGATGTCCTCGATCCTAAAAGTCCGCCCCTGACTGAAGGCCCGATCGTCACGAGTGCTGTATCTATAGCCGGCGTAGATAGGGAGGCAACTAGACTCATCTGGCCGCAAGATGTTGGACAAGTGCAGGGTGCCGAGAATTCCTCGTCTGCTGGGTCTGCGAACTCGTGCACCACCCGTAAGCGGCTCCTTACTCTCACTGGAACCACGCGGCTCTCCCACCAAGCTTCGATTCCATCCCCGCCATCTGGTCCTTATAGGAGCGACACTGGCGCCGCGTTACGAGACAATGCGCAAACGCTGGACACGGCCGGGCTGGACGGCACGATTTCACTATGTGGGAAGCACGCGTCCCAACACTACGGTGCGCCTACAGACGACGTCACGGAGATCATTGATGAGGCATCCCTAGCTGTCGCGGTTACGCACAGCAGTGGCAGCGGTCAACAGGAAGAGTGGAGATCACAGATGGGGAAAGATGACAGCCAGGTAAAGCACGGACGAATGCATGAATGAATAAATGAATAAAGGAATAAATAAATAGATGAATGAATAAATAAAATAAATAAATAAATGATCACGCGAGGAAAAACACACAAATAAATAAATAAATAAATAATATATAATAAATAATAAATAAATAAATTTACAAATAAATAACTGTTATCGACCATCCGGCCTTGATCGCGTGCACTGTAATCAAGACCGGATGGTCGATAATTTAGTATCTTTGGAATAAGTTGACCTTGCTTTATATTCTCTCGTGCACGCGCCCCATCTCTCTCCTTCTCTCCCTCTTTCTCTCTCGCTATATGACTGTGTATTTGTCCGGAATTATAAAATTACGGGCTTGGCGTTTGCAATGGCTTTCACCTTGCTGACCTGGTTCACAGGTATTACAACTGAAAACGTTCGAACTTCCTGTCAAGAGAAGAAAGCAAGCATTCACCAAGGATCACGTGAAGGAAGTGCTTGTATTTCCACCGTTTGACAACATTACCTACGTCGGTAAGATTGTAGTTCTCGACATTAACGCTTACAATAGGCTAATAACTCCAAATTGGTCTGTAATTTTATTTACGTATACACCACAACATTTGTCTTCTCTAATGGTGCATTTATGATCCATAGATAATACGACAGCAAGCTGTAGAAAACGTTTTAATATTCCGTATCATCGTCGCAACAGGTATTTCAATCCCAAGAGGCGACACCAGAGAGCGCCTCGCCCATAGAGGACTTGTTTCAAGGATGACTATACATTGGAGTTGGACCAGTCACAAGATAAAACAGGAGATAACAGCGCTATTTAGGAAGCAGTTTGGATTGGCTGAGGGCGAGCTGCTGCCCTACACCTACCTCAGGTACATTCCATCAGCAAAGCTGCTCATTCGAAAGATGGCCGACCTTAGGCTTGTTGACGACTGTATAGCGTTTCTTAGTAAGGCTGCTGCGGTATTTGCTTGCACGGACGAACAGTGTGTGAATGACACGCTGAATATTGTGCTCGTTCGTGAGCTTAATTATGCAATATTTTCCTCACTCATTCTGATCACTGCGTGGGTATTGCTCTGCGTTAGGACGCTCCCAGGAACAAAGAGATTGTGCCAACCCGACGTGCCTCCAACATTAGAATGGAACGCCCGGGAAGTGTTGACCGCAGCAGGCCAGGGGGCTCTGTATATAATGTCACATATCCACCCAGTAAGTGATGCCACCGGACTCCAATGCCATATGTTAACCTTATTGGCTGTACATATGTTGAGTAATATGTAGGCAATGGTATTGATTGCTAAGACAATTACGCAAATACCAATAATCTTTTATGACATTTGTAATATCGCTGTGGCTATATGCCCGGCAGCCGGGCACGGTCTTCGATTTCCTAAATGCCCGGCAGTTCCTAACCCTAACCCTAACCCTACCCCTAACCCTAACCCTTGTTTACTTGAGATAACGCTGAAAATTAAAAACTGCCGGGCATTTAGGAAATCGAAGACCGTGCCCGGCAGCCGTCAGATATATGCCGGCTGCCGGGCATATAGCCACTCTGTTGTAATATATCACTGTTCCGCTTACATATAGTGTCACGTTTCCCTTTTCCCTATACCATACGTCCCTCTTCTACCCTCTCCAGCCTCTCTCCCTCATCGACTTCCCCCGTTTGCTACCTTGTCTCCATGGTCTCCTCTACCTTCTCTGCCTTCTCCCCTTCCTTACTGTCTCTATCCCATCCACTTCCCAATATTCGACGATAGACTACTTTTACTTTCTCGATCCCCCTCCTTAACATTCTCCATCTTCCCCCTTCCCCCATGTTCCTTCATCCGCTTCGTATATATACTCCATCTACTACCCCTTTTCACCTTCTCTCATAAGCATTGGCTTCGCATGTATTTGTCCGTTCGTCATTGGGAGAACATTATATATATATAAATACAATTTACGCATACAAAACACATTTTACACTTACATACATTATTCTACGTTTCCTTTCAGGCAGAAAACGTCATCGACCTTACTCAGGAGGACGCCAACACTGCAGCGCTACATGTGAAAGACGTTGCTAAAATAGACACGGCAATGGTTTTTTCTGAGGTCGCAGACCGAGTAATTCAGTCGCTAGGTAACGCCAACCGAACATCTAACCATTGTAGTTAATATATATATATATGTATATTATATATTATCAGATGACGCACACTGTGTACGTTATCATTACATACTTAAGCCAAATCAGATTTTGCAGTCTCTATGGGGTTTTAATGTGATTGTCCTACAACGTATCTAGCCCTCCCTTCATCCGCTCACCATCGTATATATAAATGTTGTATTGCTTCTATTATTCTAATACAACCGTACTCTATGTATAGTAGCTTAAACGACATACTCAGTGATTGCGATGTTAACTTGTGGTAACAATAGCGCTTTTCAAAAATCCTTTCTGTTACTCTAGCTGCTACACTTTTTATACTGTGTTTCAGAGCATACGACGGCTACTTCGAACACGTTTGTGATGTGTGAGTATGGTGCGGCGGACGGCCTCGTGTCGGGGAAGCTCATGCAGACAGCTACCGGTAAAGAATACATGGCAAAAGATTTTGTGGATGTATTTTCCACTTTAATAGTTTGTCGCGATGTGTTATATTAGTTCTACGCTGTTTATTTGCAATAGAATGCATAGTTTGCATTGTTATGATATTTAAATTTATCTAAACCTGCTGGGTTCAGTCTCTAAAGAATTTAACAAAGTCTTGTCTCTGCACTCTCCATATTAAATAAAGAACTAATTATATATTGCTAAAATAGAGAGGGTGTGTCGAGAAAGAGAGAGCGAGAGAGAGCGAAAGAAAGAAAGAAAGAAAGCGAGCGAGAGAGAAAAAGAGAAAGAGAGAGGGGAGAGAGGGAGAGAGAGAGAAAAAAAAGCAAGAGAGGGAGAGAGAGAAAGAGAAAGAAAGAAAGAGAGAGAAAAAGAGAAAGAGAACGAGAGAGAGAGAGAGAGAGAAGTTGCTATACTTTTCTGGTTGGCTGCTCTTATACTGATACGTATTCTGCATGGCAGAACTTCTGTATAGCAAAGGCTTCCAAGTTCAGCTCGTTTACCAAGAGGACCGCCGCTGTATGCGTCACAGGCTTGTCGACACGACACAATGTAAGACATGTAGTATCCCGGAGAAGCACATAAAAATGGGCATGTAACGTTGATGTATGTTTGACGTACATGTCCATGTACCAACGGACCATGTAACCATGTAACCAATGGGAACACATGTACATGACCACAACGGTGACGGCATGTGCAAGGAGATGTGACTATACGTGAGCAGATATTAAAGTTATTCAGTTTACTACACAAGTTTGGATTTCTTTATCATTTATACATCGAACATACATCAACGTTACAGGCACATTATGCAGCTCATCGCGTAAACGACACGTCTTTGAAAACCAATTCTCACGCACGTTACGTGTTCCGGTGAACCGAAACTTAATCGGAATGACGGTGACCGCTTAATCGGAACATTTCACGATTTCCGACTCATCCCGATAAAGCGGGGCCCACTGTACAGGTTGTAACGGAAACTTTAGTTCGAGTCTTTGGCGATTGCAATAGTCGACGTCTTCAGTAGTTTTACAGAGGCGGAGTCAGGCACTCGTACTGATGAGCGGCGCATCATTTTACGGAGAGGTGATGCCCCGGTGCTCCGTGGACTTTGCATTCTCCTTCGCTTCCCTGCATCGTTTGTCCGAGAGGTATGCACATTAGAGATGAGTAAAATATATATACAAAAAACCACAACCTATGCCATTTTAAATTGGACGCTGTAGTTCGTTTCTCGTAACTTTTCGTGTCATTCGCTAGAGTCCGCAGTGTACAGACGTGCCCGATGTCGATATTTTGCGATAGTGTCAGTATTTCCCCCTCAATATGCAAGATAGTTGCGTGTTACGTACACTATGGCTATATCACATACACACACTATACCACACTAGACGGTAGAGAAAGTGGGATTCCCCTGTAAATCATAACGTCAAATATAAATTCTATCAAATTATGGGTTGTGCGTATGATCCTATACGCGTATGACAGGCACAAAAATCCTAGAGTTTATCTATGTTTAAAGGTCTCTACTTAGGAAGGATAACCTCCGGCAGATGTTTTTTGAACGGTGTTTTGTATTTGGAATTTGATATTTAACGTGTTGCTGAAATTTCTGCACACGATCGTAGCGAGTCAGAGCGCCATGCAATCGTTGTATATTAACTTGTGATGAGAGTGGGCATTGTGATGTATTATAGGAACTCTTTACCCAAGTCGCGCCTGCGCAACGGCATGTCAGATGTGATGACATGCGAGGATAAGCAGCAAGCTAGTACCGACTGGGAAACGGTGTTGCTCAAAAGAGCGGCGGAATTGAAATGTGGTACGCTCCAAATTATAGCCGTTTTAATTAGTTATTGAAATTCTAATTTTAGAATCGGGCTCAACCTGAGACTCAAATTTTCACCAGTTATTACATCGATGCATTGATAATTATAATGTAGACTTCGGTTTAATATATTGCGTTTACGTTGCATATAACCCACCTATATTTCTTACACACCTTTTGTTTTTTTGTCTCTTTCTGTCTCTGCCTCTCTTTCTCTATATATACACGCACGCACGCACGCACGCACGCACGCACGCACAGTGCGCTTTAATATATATATCAGTATATATTATATACTATATAATATATCTATATATATTATACTATATATTATATAATTATACTAGTATCCTATATATATATATATAATCAAGAACTAATAAATACCTATGTATATGTATAAATGTATAATATGTATATATGTATAAATACCTATGTTTATGTATAAATGTATAATACGTATATATGTATAAATACCTAGGTATTTATTAGCTCTTGATATATAATAATCATTCGCACGTTCGAAAGACAGCATCCAGTACATAAAGATGAGCAGGGTAATGTCGCCAATTGTAAAAAGCTTTTCGTCACCGTCGCTATATAACATGAGCTGCATAAGACCATATATGTAATGGTCATGAGTGATGGTGGCGCGGGTAAATCCTGCATTGCAGACATACCTCCGTAATGAAACCGTCGATGTGTAAGGATCGCCAATGTTCCGACTCTTGCCATTAGGAGGCGCCATAGCCATTCGCTTTTGATAGCTCACGCTAGTCCCTGCCCTCTTGCTGTAGCTGCCCCGAGGTCGCTAAACAAC